GGGTAGTAGTCTCAGTTTTCTAAGTAGTGAACAGTGAGAATTGCTGTCTCCTAGCTATCTTCAGCTGCGCTAACTTCCAAACTCATCAAATCCAACCCCAACAATATCACGAACTCTTGAAACAAGTAACAAAACAGGATACAACCAGGACACTGCCCATTTTCTTTATTGTTGTTAAAAATTAAACTAAGTAGCCCTCCCACGCCCTATTTAAACCCCATGTACCCCCAGTTTCTCTACCACAAACTTAACCTCTCTCTCTTCTCTCCTCCTTAATTTGAGCGGCGATGGCTTCTTCTTCTTCCTCCTCCTCTTTCTGTTATTACCTAGTGTGCTTCTTGGGCCTCTCCGTTGTGAGAGGTATAATGGCCGCTTCACCAAAAAAGCCCGTGAGCGTCCCGTTCCAAAAGAACTATGCACCTACTTGGGCTTTAGATCACATCAAGTACTTCAATGGAGGCAGAGAGATCCAACTCCATCTTGATAACTACACGGGTACGTATTTACTAATTAAAAATGCATATAATTCGTGGTCTCCGCTGAAACCATCGAGAGCATTGCGTGTAATTAATTTTGATACCGCGCCACTTGTTACAGGAACTGGGTTCCAGTCCAGAAGCTCCTACTTGTTTGGGCACTTCAGCATGCAGATAAAGATGGTTCCTGGAGACTCCGCAGGAACTGTCACCGCCTTTTATGTAAGTTAATGTTCAGCCACCAATCTATATGCATGCACGTTATTGAAATTTCGTTTTTTTTTTCTAACGATTGAATTGGTTGGGCTTCAGCTGTCATCTCAGAACTCGGAGCATGATGAAATAGATTTTGAGTTCTTGGGGAACAGGACAGGGCAGCCCTACATACTGCAGACCAACGTGTTCACTGGTGGAGAGGGGAACAGAGAGCAAAGGATCTACCTCTGGTTTGATCCTAGCAAAGCATACCATTCCTACTCTGTTCTCTGGAATATGTACCAAATTGTGTAAGTTGTATTGCTATCTCTTAAAGGTATCCCCTTCTTAAGTTTTTTTAAAATGCGTTGCTCCTCTCTCGTCATCTTTTAACTTTTATCTCAGACATAACCATAGACTTTCAATATAAATATGATTGTTACTTATAAAAGCTTATAATGAAGTATTTTCCAGAGATAATGAAAACCTTAGATGGAATTTTTTTCGTATTTTTATCATTAATTGTTATTAGTAGGAGGACCACCTATGAGTGTGTTTGAAGTCTTATCTCTTGTGGCTACTAAAATAAAGTCTTGTCACTGGTCAACCTGCTATGTAATGCAGTCCTCTATCCCGAGACGCAAATTAATGTGGTTGATTTACAGCGTGTTCAAAATCTAAACTCTACTTGAAAACAAGTAAACAGTGAGGTAGATCTCAGCCACGAAGTGAAAAAGTATTGGTAGTTGAACATTTAACCTATTTTAAAACAGTTTTTTAGTTTCAATTTGGAATCATTATGGCTTCAGATGATAATAATATACAAATATGTAAAGAAACCCCTAATTAATATTGGACCCTCAAATCACAAATAATTTCAAAAGAGAGAAAGTTTATAATTTATATGGTTTGAGATTAAATTCCTCATTTAAAACTACTTGAAATTAACTCTCTAATTATCTTCTCTTAATCATATAAACAAAACAGGAAAAAAAATTTAAAAAAAAAATCAGTCACCCTTTTAATGTTAAATTGCCTAGTTTGACCTAAAACCTACTGTGTTGTAGTAATTCTTCTTCTTCTTCTTCTTCTTTTAACTAGAAAGATCAATGATCAGTCTATCTCTTGAAAAAACTGTTTATAAGTTAGTTAGATCGATGAAGATGCATGTGGGCTTGGACTTTAATAAAGCATCTTGCACGACGAGAGAGGGAATAAGTTGGTGGGGTCAGATTGGATTGGTCCGTCAAAATGTAAACATGTGCTCTCTTCTGATAATGACTTGTTCTTTGACTAAAACCAAGAGTCACTGCATGATTAGTGCAAAAATTTAGTAGTAATTGTGGTCTTAGTGAATGGGTATATATGGTATTTGAAAATGAGCTAATGATTATGATTTGTTAGTATTGTAATGATCATTATTATTCATGTTAGTTATGTATAGTGTTATTCCTTTTTACTTAAACCAAATCATATATAACTGCTCACTAAATGATAGACTTTTGTGAATCAAAAGAGTGAACCATTTAATGTTTATTTAGAGTGACAAAGATCTAAATCCATTTGAAAGTGCGTGTATGATTGAAGGAAGATATAAAGAAAATAAAATAGTTGGCTACAATAGTTATTTAGTTTCCATGCTTTTCCTTGAGTGTTTGGCTTAGAAGTTGACATGATTTTAAGTATTTCTCTAAATCGCTATTTTATCAGAGAAAAGAGGAGCTAATACATTAGCTAGTGTAAAAAAAACCATACTAGTATACTTGCTTAAGTTTGAACCATTTAATGGGCTAACAAGCCTATTTCCTTTTAATTTTCCGTCATTTTCC